TGTGTACTGTGTGTGAGGCTTGTGGTGCACCACTACTGGTGTGTACTGTGTGTGTGGCTTGTGGTATACCACTACTGGTGTGTACTGTGTGTGTGGCTTGTGGTGCACCACTACTGGTGTGTACTGTGTGTGTGGCTTGTGGTGCACCACTACTGGTGTGTACTGTGTGTGTGGCTTATTGTATACCACTACTGGTGTGTACTGTGTGTGTGTGGCTTGTGGTGCACCACTACTGGTGTGTACTGTGTGTGTGCTTGTGGTATACCACTACTGCTGTTGTACTGTGTGTGTGGCTTGTGGTAACCACTACTGGTGTGTACTGTGTGTGTGGCTTTGTGGTGCACCACTACTGGTGTGTACTGTGTGTGTGGCTTGTGGTGCACCACTACTGGTTTGTACTGTGTGTGTGGCTTGTGGTGCACCACTACTGGTTTGTACTGTGTGTGTAGCTTGTGTGCACCACTACTGGTGTGTACTGTGTGTGTAGCTTGTAGTGCACCACTACTGGTGTGTACTGTGTGTGGCTTGTGGTGTACCACTACTGGTGTGTACTGTGTGTGGCTTGTGGTGTACCACTACTGGTGTGTACTGTGTGTGTAGCTTGTGGTGCACCACTACTGGTGTGTACTGTGTGTGGCTTGTGGTGCACCACTACTGTGTGTTACTGTGTGTGGTCTTGTGGTGCACCACTACTGGTGTGTACTGTGGTGTAGCTTGTGGTGCACCACTACTGGTGTGTACTGTGTGTGGCTTGTGGTGCACCACTACTGGTGTGTACTGTGTGTGTGTAGCTTGTGGTGCACCACTACTGGTGTGTACTGTGTGTAGCTTGTGGTGCACCACTACTGGTGTGTACTGTGTGTAGCTTGTGGTGCACCACTACTGGTGTGTACTGTAAGCTACTTCAGTTCAAATATTAACGTCAAATGTTTGTAATAATTACTGAGGGAAGAGTCTGTACATAACGCAGCTTCAAGGAAAGTTAGTTTAATATGTTTATTACGCAACCCATACCCATCCTGTGGGCGGTAGTCACCCCATACCCATCCTGTGGGCGGTAGTCACCCCATACCCATCCTGTGGGCGGTAGTCACCCCATACCCATCCTGTGGGCGGTAGTCACCCCATACCTATCCTGTGGGCGGTAGTCACCCCATACCCATCCTGTGGGCGGTAGTCACCCCATACCCATCCTGTAGGCGGTAGTCACCCCATACCCATCCTGTGGGTGGTAGTCACCCCATACCCATCCTGTGGGCAGTAGTCACCCCATACCCATTCTGTGGGCGGTAGTCACCCCATACCCATCCTGTGGGCAGTAGTCACCCCATACCCATCCTGTGGGTGGTAGTCACCCCATACCCATCCTGTGGGTGGTAGTCACCCCATACCCATCCTGTGGGCAGTAGTCACCCCATACCCATTCTGTGGGTGGTAGTCACCCCATACCCATCCTGTGGGCAGTAGTCACCCCATACCCATCCTGTGGGCGGTAGTCACCCCATACCCATCCTGTGGGTGGTAGTCACCCCATACCCATCCTGTGGGTGGTAGTCACCCCATACCCATCCTGTGGGCAGTAGTCACCCCATACCCATCCTGTGGGTGGTAGTCACCCCATACCCATCCTGTGGGTGGTAGTCACCCCATACCCATCCTGTGGGTGGTAGTCACCCCATACCCATCCTGTGGTGTTAGTCAAAAGATTACAAAGGTACATAATGGGTCCAGGACTGGACCCCAAAGTTATGATAGCTGAACTAGTTACAAAGGTAATGAACTGCAGGTAGATCTGGTGACAATCATGACAAGTTACAGAGGTAATGAACCATCTACACTCCTGTACATGGTTACAATCATGAATGTAAGTAATGAGCTACTGACACGTCCACTTTTCTCACTGATGGTTTCTTAAGGAGGTTCATATTTTCGACCTAAAATTACGTATGTATTAATATCATAATAAAGGTGTGAAGGTGAACTTAAAGTTTCCTGATGAATATTATGCAGGCTTTGTCTTTATTTTTATTTGACAAATTTTTATTGAGGTATCCCTATTATTTTTCTCTTTCGCTTTTTTCTTCCTCCAACTTTTTGCTTTTATTTCTTACAAAACAAGAGAGAAAGCTTCTTCCGATCGGGGTCAAATTTTCCAAGCTGGTATACTGTAAACATCCCAAGAGTTTCAAGTTTCTTGGAATACATGGGATGGACAGGTGTCCTATAACCAAATTTGCAGAACCTATTCCAAGCTTCCTAGGGCGCCAATAACTTTCAAAACAATTTCCTGCTTGCCTTCAAAACTTAAAAAAAAAGGGTGCCTTCAAATTCCATGATGGGCGGAGAGTGAAACTCAAGTGTGTAAGTGCATGTCTGCTAATTTTGATTATAATAATAATTGAAATTTTTATTCTCTTTTAATCACGTGAAATATATTTGAGTCTACCTCTTCTGAACGGCTTCAGTATTTAATGGCTAATACATCTTATGACCAGGATAGTTCGCACTAAGTTTAGTTTGTTTGCGGACAGATTCGTCAGATTAATTTATAGAATCTGGAATCATTGGAATCCAGCTTGTGTACATAATCATTGGAATGCAGCTTGTGTACACAGTCATTGGAATGCAGTTTGTGTACACAGTTATTGGAATTCAGCTTGTGTACATATTCATTGGAATGCAGCTTGTGTACACAATCACTGGAATGCAGCTTGTGTACACAATCATTGGAATGCAGCTTGTGTACACAATCATTGGAATGCAGCTTGTGTACACAATCATGGCCATACACAACTGTAGAACAGACCAGCAAGGGGGAGGAACAGCTATATACTACTCAAATCAACTCGAATGTATCAATAAATCTTGCACAAGGGACGAACATGGAGAATATATCATAGCCAAATTTAAATCTAAAGACCTGCAAAACCCCCTCACAGTTTTAAACATCTACAGAGTACAACAGTCAAACATTTATCAAGACCACCTACTAACAGGAGATTTCAACATAAACATACTACACGACCAGGACCCACAAGTAGCCAAATTCACAAACACAATGAGTAACTGCCTGTTGCTACCAGCAATATCTAACCCTACAAGAATCTCCGAGACAAGCATCTTAATAGACTAGCAAACTTACCCTGAACACTGATAAAACCTATTTCATTCAGTTTGGAAACAAAGCTGCAAATGATCCAATTAACATAACGCTAAATGGATCATCAGCCACAAGACTCGCAGAGGGAAAATTCCTAGGTATCCACCTTGGCAGTAGCCTTAAGTTCCAGACACACATACAACAAATCACCAAGAAAATCTCCAAGACTGTAGGCATACTATCAAATATAGGGTACTACATTCCACAATCAGCTCTCCTGGCACTGTACCATTCACTCATATACCCTTATCTTACATATGGAATTTGTGCATGGGGATCAACAACATCCAATCACCTAAAACCCCTAATAGCCCAGCAAAAGGCAGCAGTAAGAATGATAATAAATTCCCACTCCCGCCAGCATACTCCACCAATTTTCAGAAGTCTGAATCTGCTCACCATTAAGAACATCCATACTTATTCATGTGCCTACTACATACACAGAACAATACATGCAAATATAAACCCCCCACTCAAACTTCTCCTCACTAACCTAAACAGGACACATGACCACAACACAAGACACAGATCTCTTTTTGATATACCTCGTGTCCATATCACACTGTGTAAAAACTTTATGCACATAAAGGGCCCCAAAATATGGAATTCATTACCAGAAGATATTAAAGTAACCCAGTCTGAAAAATCAATTTAAGACTCTTCTCAAAAGCCACTTAATCACCCTAGACTAAATGCTAAATACTCGGTACACATTTACTCACCTATGTACTCCCACATCATAACTGAAACAATCACTTTGAACCTTTTATCCATTGTTGACAGGAATATAATTGAATCATTGTTTTTTACAAAAAGCATTTTAAATTATAAATGTATCTTTGTATTATACAAATTTTGATTCATTTATAATTAATATTCTAATGTACAACTATGAAATAATTACTATCCTACTGTACAACTATGATATACTCCTTAGTGTTAAGTAGTCTGTAAGCCAATAATGTTAAGTTGGCCCATAATGCCTAGGCATAATAGAGGCTCTCGTTGCATTGCAACCCACTATTGTAAATACAAAATCTCAATGCACTGTTTGCAAAGACATAAAATAAATAAATAAATAAATAAATAAATAAATGCAGCTTGTGAAAGTTAAGACACATGTGCAACATCTGGATATCTTTATTGTAGACGTTTTGCCATCCAGTGGCTTTATCAATACAGATTCCAGGACATAATTTGAAGACAGTAGAACTATATACAAAAGATGAGGTAATCAGTCCCTCAGCCTTGGAGTTAGTGTTTACAGCATCGTGGTGGTGGAGAATCTGGAGCAAAGGCAAGAAGACTGGCGGTTATATAGGCGTCAGTGGATAAGGACATGTAGCAGACGAGGGCATAGTCACTGGAAGGTGGGATTCCCCAGTGGAAGTAGGTCCTTCCCAAAGGGATGGGTTAGTTGTAGCAGCCCTCGTCTGCTACACGTCCTTATCCACTGACACCTATATAACCGCCAGTCTTCTTGCCTTTGCTCCAGATTCTCCACCACTATGATGCTGTAAACACTAACTCTAAGGCTGAGGGACTGATTACCTCATCTTTTGTATGTAGTTCTACTGCCTTCCAATTATATCCTGGAATCTGTTTTGATAAAGCTACTGGATGGCAAAACGTCTACAATAAAGATACCCAGATGTTGCACATGTGTCTTAACTGTCATATTGTCGGTATTTTATACCTTTCTTGCTTGTGTACACAATCACTGGAATTATTAAATATATAAACACTACCATGTCTTTAGCCTCCATGGATACACATACCTTGTTATGTCATAAAGGGAAAGACATATATTCCATCTTGCTTCAGCCATAACTAGACATACCTGCTGCTTTTCCCACTTGTAGTCACATGCAATCATGAACTTCATGCGCCGGCAGTAGATGGGGTCTCCGTCAAAGTATTCATCGTGGCTTGACAAACCCTCATTTCCATTCACGGACTTGGGAACACCAGGGAAGACCACCAGAACCAACAGTGTTGCTGCAGTGATGATGATAGTGTTTCTTGGGTAATGCATTGTAAACCTGCCAACATAAATCAACATTATTAAATACACAAATAACCCGCACATAGGTGACTGAAACTTATAATGACGTTTCAGCCTGACTTTTACCATAAACTAGTCACAACATTATTAAAATATAAAGACCTGTGCCAACAAGTGGACGTAAGTGTTATACTGTAGATAGCAATTAAGAAAACACACACGGTGTAAGACAAGCTTTTAGACTGTACTCTATATAGATCTTCACACACAGGCACACATGTCCACCCAAAACACTAACATTATATGCATATCGTGCATAGCCTAAAACCGGATTCCAATAATTCTGGTGTCTCTTGAGACCAGAATTAAACAACATTAATACACAATGTCTCGTGGACAGGAATATAGTGTTTTGCTCATTCCTTTAAGGAATACAGGCCATTGTGTTGAGTGCACTAATTCCAAAGAATTACTCCCCTGTAATTCTACAGTTCAATGAAATATTGTGGAATTATCTCTTATCAAGCATGATGCACAACATATGTCAAATTTGTGTTCTAGAATGTTTAAACTTTGACAGTCTTATAGGCCAGAATATTGTTCATAATATTAAAGGTAAAAATATTTTTCACAAAAATACACTGTCTTCTTTGTCAGATGAACAATATAACTTGATATTGGACAAATGTATGTATGGGTGTTGCAACCCCTGAATGGGTTACAATGATTATTATGTATATATAATGTATATTACCTTTAAATTTAATTTTATATTGCTTATATTTGCGATAATAGCTAAATCGTAAATGTATGACTTTATATTATTATTTGACTGTTATATTGTTATTTAGCTTATGTTGTTAGGATGTATATAAAATGTGTTCAGTTAGTCTTGATTGTCAAACTACTGTAATTATCGCTTGTCGCTCGTTATACTGCCGGCTTCTGAGCTTCGCTGTCCACGGGGCTATCACGTGATCGAGGGGGGGGTGTCCTCACCTCTCGTGAAGTTTTCAGTCTGCTAGAGACTCGCTTGCTGGTTGGACAGATTGTCTGTCTCATTATTCTTGTTAGTTCTGTAGAACTTTGTTCACAGAACATTGTATAGACTTAGTGATTTTCGACGTTGTACTGAGGTTGTGTGTCACATAGACACTCTGAACATCTCAGGTCCTTAGCTATAGCTTCTGACCTAATTTTGTACTGGTTTCTGTGCATTGTCACAGTCGCGTTTTTCCTATGCTGAACGTAGATTCAGTATTATGGGAGTTTTGTAACTTTTGTGGAGGATCTGCTGATGGTCCCTACTTAGTGTCGTTATATTATCTCCCAGTTCCTGATTCTGTGTCGCAGTCGCATATTGCATTGCTATTGGGCTTAACATTCTTTGTTGTTCAAGCAGACTGTTCGGGTTGCCAGTCGGTCAAGAAGTTTGTTTATTTGAGGACTTTGTCAGTCACTTGTTTAAGTCTTATTCGAGTCTTGAGACATAGCTAACTACTTAAGAGCACTTACACGCATACACACTTACTTGTACATATTTGTAATATCTTATTAAATGTTAATGTACCTGACGGTACTTAAGAATTATAAATGTGATATGTGCTTTCAGCACAATAATATTGAACTCGAGAGATTGATTTTATTTTAATTGCTGTGATTTAATTTACTTTGATAATATACCTCTAGACAACTTATAGACTTAATAAATTTATTAAATTTTAATTTCTCTAGTTAGTAGCCTACCAGTTGTAATCCTAAAAAGCTATTGAACCATACTGAATTTTAATGGATAATTGGACAAGGATACTGACTACTTGTTACGAAAACCCAGTAACAGGCTGGATGCTAGAAGGGCAGTCCTTTCTAGTATTCACTGGAGATCTCTAAGCTTTTAGAATCGCGTTTTTTGTAACAATGGGTTAGGTTAGTGTGGGATCTGTTTTTGTGAGGTGTTGTCACTTGTGAGTTAGGTGTCACCTCAGGGTTTAACATATAAATGTGCTTCTCTTGCAGCATCTTCGTATATCTCTGAAGATGTGTGTGTAAGCACATGAAAGTGCTCAGGTTTTATTTCCTAGTTTCACTGTGGTATTTTTTTCATATTTGCAATCACGCATTTTATTGTGATTGTTTTAACACACACACACACACACACACACCACACACAGACACACACACACACACAGGCTAAGGAAGGAAGGAGGAGAGACAACAAGAAATGACCATGAAGTATGTGAGGAACTCAACAAGAGATTCAAAGAAGTGTTCACAGAGGAGACAGAAGGGGCTCCAGAAAGACGGAGAGGTGGGGTACACCACCATGTGCTGGACACAGTACACACAACCGAGGAAGAAGTGAAGAGGCTTCTGAGTGAGCTAGATACCTCAAAGGCAATGGGACCAGATAACATCTCTCCATGGGTCCTGAGAGAGAGAGCAGAGGCGCTATGTGTACCCCTAACAACAATATTCAATACATCTATCGAAACAGGGAGATTGCCTGAGGCATGGAAGACAGCAAATGTGGTCCCAATCTTTAAAAAAGGAGACAGACATGAAGCACTAAACTACAGACCAGTGTCACTGACAAGTATAGCATGCAAAATCATGGAAAAGATTGTCAGGAGAAGATTGGTGGAACATCTAGAAAGGAATGATCTCATCACCAGCAGCCAACATGGTTTCAGAGACGGGAAATCCTGTGTCACAAACCTACTGGAGTTCTATGACATGGTGACAGCAGTAAGACAAGAGAGAGAGGGGTGGATGGATTGCATTTTCTTGGACTGCAAGAAGGCGTTTGACACAGTACCACACAAGAGATTAGTGCAAAAACTGGAGGACCAAGCAGGGATAACAGGGAAGGCACTGCAATGGATCAGGGAATACTTGTCAGGAAGACAGCAGCGAGTAATGGTACGTGGCGAGGTGTCAGAGTGGGCACCTGTAACCAGCGGGGTCCCACAGGGGTCAGTCCTATGACCAGTGCTGTTTCTGGTATTTGTGAACGACATGACGGAAGGAATAAACTCCGAGGTGTCCCTGTTTGCAGATGACGTGAAGTTGATGAGAAGAGTTCATTCGATCGAAGACCAGGCAGAAATACAAAGGGATCTGGACAGGCTGCAGACCTGGTCCAGCAACTGGCTCCTGGAGTTCAATCTCACCAAGTGCAAAGTCATGAGGATTGGGGAAGGGCAAAGAAGACCGCAGACGGAGTACAGTCTAGGGGGCCAGAGACTACAAACATCACTCAAGGAAAAAGATCTTGGGGTGAGTATAACACCAGGCACATCTCCTGAAGCGCACATCAACCAAATAACTGCCGCAGCATATGGGCGCCTGGCAAACCTCAGAACAGCATTCCGACATCTTAATAAGGAATCGTTCAGGACCCTGTACACCGTGTACGTTAGGCCCATATTGGAGTATGCAGCACCAGTTTGGAACCCACACCTAGCCAAGCATGTAAAGAAACTAGAGAAAGTGCAAAGGTTTGCAACAAGACTAGTCCCAGAGTTAAGAGGTATGTCCTATGAGGAGAGGTTAAGGGAAATCAACCTGACGATACTGGAGGACAGGAGAGATAGGGACGACATGATAACGACTTACAAAATACTGAGAGGAATTGACAAGGTGGACAAAGATAGGATGTTCCAGAGACTGGACACAGCAACACGGGGACACAGTTGGAAGCTGAAGACACAGATGAATCAAAGGGATGTTAGGAAGTATTTCTTCAGCCACAGAGTAGTCAGGAAGTGGAATAGTTTGGGAAGCGATGTAGTGGAGGCAAGATCCATACATAGCTTTAAGCAGAGGTACGATAAAGCTCATGGTTCAGGGAGAGTGACCTAGTAGCGACCAGTGAAGAGGCGGGGCCAGGAGCTTGGACTCGACCCCTGCAACCTCAACTAGTTGAGTACACACACACACACACACACACACACACACACAAGCGAGAGGGGTGGGTAGATTACATTTTCTTGGACTGCAGGAAGGCCTTCAACACAGTTCCTCACAGGAGATTAGTGCAAAAGCTTGAGGATCAGGCACGTATAACAGGAAGGGCACTGCAATGGAAAATCAGA